GGAGGGGTAAAATATTGTGATAGTTCTAATAATTACAATAATATATTCCATATTTGGTAAATTTCTTTAATCTATTATCTTTTTTTTTAATTATTATTAAAAAGAAAGTTGTTTCGGAAAAGCTTACCTATAATAGTAACTTTGTTGATCACAAGATGTTGAAACATTGTTAAGTATCATACAGAAAACCGTTTGGAAAATTGGCCTTTAACTATCTGTTTTAAAATATTTCTGCAAGTACCTTTTAATGAATGGGCAGAAAAAATAAATAAGACATTGCACAAGAATTGCTTCTTCTGATAAGATTGAATGATTTTATTTATATAAGTTACTGTACGAATAGAACTCATATCATCAAGTGTGTTACCATGAACTAATTACAAATTAAACAATTTCCATTGTGATTTTATTGTCTGTTTGTTACATGACAAACTTTTAAATTTCATAAGAGGGACTCTTTTAGATTGGGATGATCATGTGGTGGGATGGAGTAACAACTGGAAAAGGTTGTAGAAAATACAGGAGAGTTCTGAAACCTTTTTTCCAAGGAAAAAAAGCACTGGATATTATGAAGAGTCTACTTTCATAACCACCTAGTTGATGCAAGCTCTTGTGTACGATACAATGCAGCAAGCTTACTATTAATTTCATTAATCTCTTTCATGTATTATGATACAACTGTATAATGAAATGCTAAATATATTAATAAGTAGGAAATGTTTGCAGTAATATTAGTTTATATAAGTATTTAATTTTTTTACTCAATGTTAATGGGTGTAAAATTACCTTATGTAAACTATGTTGACATTGTGTGATGATAAATTTCCTAGTGACATGGCCTAGATTGTCTTCATAAATTACACACAGAAAAAAAATATTTTAGATACATTCAGACCATGGAGAATACAGTGGTAAACATTGTGGTATTCAGGTAGTCAAGAGTATTCACAAAATGCAGGATGAAGACACCTAAATAAAAGATAACATAAAGTATAACAGCAAAGGACAACGAAAATAAAAAATCAAGAGACAGAATTATGGAGATAAGCTCACTTTTGCAGTCAGATGAAATTTGTAGTACAGTATCCCATAAGTCATTAGATTACATATTTCAACAAAGAGTCTACATACAATGGTAAACCTGTTTGTACAGGCTTCTGTGCCACCTGTTTGAATAAGTTTGGCTTTCTGGAAATCTCTACAGAAATACATACATTCTAGCTTAAGACTGAATAGCAAAGGATGCATTATGCAAAATAACACAAAAAATATACTTGTTATATGTTCCATCCCTCTCTGGCAGATATCAAGCATCAATTGAGGTCATCTTAACTTTCATGATATGCATATTTTTAGATGGAGGGTTTGGAGATGATATAGAAAATGACAATAAAATACAACAAAATATTTCATATTGATTAAAGTTTAATAAAACAAAATAAATCACATATAACACAAATTTTATTAAAAATTAACTAAAACAAGTGATATATAACAACAAAATATTCATTTTTCTATAGGAAATTCAAAAACGTTCTTTTGATTATGTATCACATCTTTACAATGACAGTAAACTAAGTCAAATATTATGTCTGTTTTTAGTTCACCAATAACACTATATGCCATTCAGTTTGTTTCTATATATAATACTGATTTGGACTATCTCATCTTCAATTAACATAACACATGGACAACAAAGCCATCCTTGCACACCCACTCTTGGGAAAAGTACATATTTAAACCCATCTTTTATTTTTCAAGAAATCATCAATTTCCTTCTTAAAGTTTTGTAAAGTGTCAACCTCCACTACTAATGATCAACATATTCTATAAGACAATTACTCTGTTTGGTTAGAAAATTAAAACTGTTTTAACTGGATCCTAGACTGTCTTTTCCAAGTCTTAAATTTACGTCCTCTTGTCTTCATAATACATCACAAAGAAACCAGAGGCTTTTATCCAATTGATCTCCTGGATAATCTTATAAACTTCAATAAAATTACCTCTTAACTTTCTTTCCTCAAGAGAAAGTAAGTCAAGAGATATTAACCTAGCACTACAAAATAATGTTTCCATCCACAGAATCATTCTAGTAGCCCTCCTCTGAATATCTTTTCCAATAAGTCAATGTCCTTTCCTGGGTAGGAAACTAAAACTGTACACTGTGTATCAAGTAGGGCCTAAGTAGTTATTTCTATAAAGAGATATTTATCTGTCTTTGATTTGTTATCGATAATGTTTCTATGTCTACAAATATTCCCTAAAATACTATTGGCTTTACTAGCTACTTACTAAAAATTAACAGAGCACTGCCTCAATGGTTTAAGAGACTTTTCCACTAATATGCTAAGATTACTTTCTTTAGTCATGCTATTGAGTGTTCCTGTCTATGTAGAACATGCGATCCAAATCATGGTAACCCAAATACATTACCTTGCACTTACTATTATTAAAAGTCATTTGTGGAACATTTATACTGTCCAACTTACTAAGTGATCCTCAAAATCCTCAATACTGTTAGGAATACCCAAGAGTTTAATCTTATCAGCAAACTTTACTAATTTACTACCTATGTTGCAATCGATATTGTTAATGTAAATAAGAAAAAGCAAAGGCCCTCATACAGACCCTCTGAGGTATTTCACTAAGGGACCAGTTTAACTGAACTCTATAAATAACAATGTTGTACTTTCTTTCAATCTGCAATCCTACAACTAAACCAATCAACTAGTCTTTCCCTGGCCCATACAGATGTAATGTTTGTAGATTAAAAGAGAAAAAACCCTTGCCATCAGCATCATCACTTAAAGGCCCAATTCTCATTTAAAAATTTTCTTACCTTTAACATGATTAAAAATATCCTGGTTGTTAGTTCTAACATTAGCAACCAGCTGTTTTGTATTTGCCCATTATTATTTCCTAATTAATTTTTTAACCAAATCCCTAGCTTTCCTATTGTTCTTTAAATCTATTAAAATTAACTTAAATGTATAGCTTTTATTAATCTAATTATCCCTGTTATGTCTTTAGTACGCCAATTAGGTTTGATATTCCCTGTTATCATTTTCCAAATCTGTCCCCATCGTCTTTTAACTTATTATTCCAGTTGAAAAATGATAAATTTTGTCAATAGAGTGAAAGTCAGTGCTTTTATGGTTTAGGCTAGAACAAAGTTAAAAATGTTGAAAAGCTATGCAATAAAATTAATAAAAAATGTTGATTTTGCTACAGTAATAAATGTGAAAAAAATAAGAAATTGAATATATTATATCATCTCAATATCACTGTCATTTTCAAAGGAAAAAAGACTAAACCACAGAAGAGCAAAAATTCTTAATAAATCATACGTGGTGGATACAAGATATTCAAGGGTGTTAAAGGAAGGCTTGATAAATATTTGAATGATAAGGTCTGGCTTTTGTTTGTTTGTTTTTTTTAGTTGATGTGATAACCAAGATGGACTAATAGGTTTCTTGTTTTCCTAAATCTAATGTTCTGTTATAATATTTTATCTTGTTGTCAAGTTATTTTTCCTTAATCTAATATAAAGAAAGACGATGACATCTGGTAAAAAGAATTCATAAATGTACACTAGGATATATATATACATATATGTAAACAAAAAGCACTAATGTATGTTTGAAAAATCTTAAAATCATTAGTTTTATAAGAAAGGAACCACTGTTTACCAAGCATGAAATAAAATTAACTTTTTAACCTTCTTTTAATCTTTCTTTATCATTTGTTTCAAATGATACGAATTACTTGTTTTACACATTTTCTTTGATAATTCTTCAACCACAGGGGTCTCCTACTTGTAAACTGGTCAACATTTTTTCTCATTTATGATATGATGTGTACAATTTAGTTTCTCAAAGAATGCCAATTTTTGCAGAAACATATTAAAGATTTGTATGGCTAAAATTCATTATACTGACTTTCCATATTTCTATCTAATAAAAAAAAAAATGCCCAACAGAAAATAGCTTAACATCTCAAGCATTTAATTTAGAAAGCAAATTATTTCCTGAATAGTCATAAATACATGAAGCATTTATATAACAGTGTTGTCTTAACTTCTACAATAACAAAAGTGCAATAAATATATAACTTAAAGCAATTACATGTGTGATAAGGTAGAAGTATGCATAATCATTACCATAACATAGCTTTAGAAATTAATAACATAAAATTCTTGCCATGTATATGTTGACATTTATTTACATCTATACAAAGTTACCCATAAAATATCTTTTATATTTCAGGTTTATTAATACGTTTTTACCTGTGAATAAATATGACCTAAATTAGTCTTAAAGGCCTCCTTGAAGATATAGGCAGTCAATGGAGCAGATTTTGTTTTTGTATATTCATTACACTTTAATGAGGAAGTATAATCTCAGACATAATTTAGGGTCTAAATGTATTCCATTCCTAAGTAGCATGAAATTAAAAAAATGTTCATCTGTTTTATTTTTATACATTATGCTAAACAATTAATTAATAAAAATACAATCAGCTAATCACTACTTCCTGTAAGAAAGAAAAACAAAGGCTTCAGACCTTCAGTGGATCTATGTTTCTATAAGTATATTCTCACTTTTCTTAGTTACATGCAGTGTTTCAGTGTTTTTGTAAAATGAATGTTTAAGCTCATTTTTCTGAGTATTTATTCCAAAGATAAAAAAAACCTTCTTCCTAATAAAAAAAACAAGAACAGGATGTCTAAACAATATTCTAGTTTTTGAATTTGTGTATTTTATCTATACTCTTTGTTTGACTTTGCAATATAAATGAAACTTTATTTGTATGATAATCTATGATTTATAGATTTCATTTCTTAGCATAAAATTACTTAGTACAGCGGTTCTCAATCTGTGGTCCATAAGCTCCCTTCAGGTGGTCTTTGGAAAGATTGCCTACTTACAGAAAGGAAGCGGCAGTATAGTGTGTAAATCTAATAACTGTGGTTGACTGAAATAAAAAATTCTGATGGCCCATGAACAAAAAATGATCAAATTTAATTAGTTAAAAAGCTAGTGTGAAAAATATAGTTACATAACATATCCATCTTGGTAATCAGACTAACAGAATATGTTTTGTGCTTAAGATATCATACATATTTCGTGGCAGCTATAAAAATGTCATAGCCATTACATTCATATTTTCACCATTCCATATGTGATTCCACTATGTTTAAAAAAGTGACTTAAAATATGTGAAACATGATGATAAGAAAATTTTAACGCTTCACTGTTATGTCAGTTAACGAGCTCCATACATATCCATTTCATTTCTTTTTTCTTTTCTTTTTCCCTTTCCCTTTACCCTTTCTTCGAGTACCAGCCCAAGGGAATCCTCTGATTGTCAGGAAATCAGCAACATTATGACATGTATAATAGGCATTTTCCATAGCATCTGTACTGAAGATATCCACCTGCGTTACAGTCCTGATATATTGAAATAATATTTATATGAGTAATTTGTCTTCTCTATTATTTTATAAAGCTTTTATGACACGTGTTTAATCTGTTTATGGAAATAATGAAAGAAACAAAGAAAAACAATAACCTTCTTCATTTTTTGTTTTGTATGTAATGAGAACCAATCATTTATAAACTTTACTTATTTTGTCCTTATCTACTTTTTGTCTTAAGAAAAATAATTATCTGTTCTCTTTCATTAGCTTTTATAACCTCCTTAACTTTCAAACTGTGTGACCAAAAATTAACACCGTAGTGCCACATTCTTTTCATGTCATGCATGAATTTTTTGGTATTTTTTCATTTTATAAATAGTACAGTTATGGTAGTCTAATTTGAATAAACATTGTTATGAAAAAAAATTTTTTTTAAGCTACAAGTATGCGAGGCACAAAATATATCTACCATTAAATTAAAGAATTATTTAACCCCATATTGTGCACATGTTATAAATCTATACTATATATAAGTTACAAAGACAATAGTTTGATTTGAAAAAACACAAAGTGATTACTTAAGCTAAATTTTGACACTTTTTTACTACTATTTATGATCTACATAGATAATTTACATTTTTTTTCATTCATTTTAATTATTTTATATTTTCATACTCAAGAGTGCAGCCACAGCTAGCTCATAATAACAAAATTCAGTTAACAAAAAGTTTTTAATTTATTTACTTGATTTTGTAAAATCATTTGTATTTTTACAAGGTAATACAGTTATAAAGGATGTGAAAAAAATGAACAGGATATTAAAATTGATTGTGATCTCATTACTTCTGGAACAAGAATAACTTTATTCAAGGATTTTCTAGACTGTTATTCTGTCAATGATTTAATGGTATAAAGTAATATATATATATATATATATATTTTATTTTAATAATAGCACATATGACACATATACCTGTTTTACACATTTGTACCTCTTGTACGGTAAAACCACCTTTTTCTTAGAGAATCTTATCAATTAAATGCTTTTGGTAAATGGATTTCCATTAATAATTTATGTCTTCTATACTTTTATTTAAGTTTTTCAAAATTTTAATATGTATAAATCTTTTTTTAATGATATTGTGTAATTTCCTTCACTTAGCAAAGGGAGTTTTGTGACATAACATAATGATAATAGAATATTAATTAACAGGTTGGTTCAAATCTCAGTCGAGCATGAAATCTTCTGTGGTGTAAAGCTAACTGGTATACAATTAGGCAACAAAAATTCAACAAACTCAGTTAAATTCTCCCATATGAAAAAAATAATAATTTGTCTCTATCTTGCACAACCAAAGCTAATCTGCCAAAATAGTTATCAAATGAGTACACAATGCTCCATTAATTAACATTTTCAACTGTGATCCACATAAGTTTTATAGCAAAATAAACTTTTCTTTATCAGTAAGTCACAACGTTATTTTGTTAATTTGATCAAAATTCTATTTGTACTAGTTGAAAACAGAACACCTGTTAGATGGATAAACATTTAAAATAATTAAACTTTCATGGACTTTCTGGACCTTACTTGTTGGATGTAATTGATTTTCTTCCTTTTCCTTTCTTACCACCAGGACTTTTACTCCTTGTTCGTCCTTTGCCCGGTGAAGAATTTTTATTTCCCGTCTTCTTCCCATCCACTTTCGCTTTGGGTCCTTTCTGAATATGTGATGATTTTATTTAAAATATTATATAGTTTCTTTTTAAGAAGACAAACTAAACTGTTATTAGTAAAACATAAAACTTGTATATAAAACAGTTAAGGCAGAAAAAGTAACTCAAAACTGATATTATGTTTTACATAAACACATACGTAGTTTTATTAGTTGAGAGCCAGTTACTTTTTGATTAAGTTTAGTATAGACAATTGTAAATTAATACCACATTTATTTGTTTTGTTTACAGGCATGGAGTACATACCACATAACTGTCTTCAAAATGTAACTCCCCCTCCAGTGGCTCTGTTATAAGTGTGAGAGCTTATAAACCTAAAAATTAGATTTTGATACACACAGTGAACAAAGTGCAGGTTGCCAACTGTATAGCTGTTTGGCAGTAAGACTTATCCCACTAAAATCCAGGGTTTGATTTCCCATAGTCAACAGAGTACATATAACTCACTGTGTACCTTTCTGCTAAAAAAAAAAACTTTTGCTCTTGCCCCTCTCCGGTAGCTCAGAGATAAGTCTGAAGGTTTATAACACTAAAACTCAGGTTTCAGTATCTGTGGTAGGCAGAGCACAGATATTCCATTGATTAGTTTGCGCTAAAAAAACAACTTTTATCCCCCAGCATCAAGTCTGAGATATTATAATGCTAAAAACTGGGTTTTAATACCTGCTGTTGGCAAAGTACAGGTAGCCATTGTACAGCACAGAATATTCTTATGTAAATCATAATGATTTTTAATCTTATTTGCATTTTAGTGATTAGAAACATTTTAGAGAGGTAGTGAGCTGGTTCCTGGTATCCAAACGGTTGAGAAACACTGGGCTAAACAAAACATTGGGAGTGCTGCATTCTACACCTTGTGGACAAACATACTTTAGTACTTAGGAAGTTAACCAGCTGTAACAATGAACACTTTTGGTTGAGTGCATCCTGCAGGGACTATAGCCTACAAGGGAGGCTAAGGTTTATTCAGAGGCAGCTTCAGCCTTAGCAAGTGCTTTCCTTTGCTGCTGATCCTGAGCACAAAACTTTTGGGAGGGGGGATTACCACAGACTAATGCCATTTCGTCACAACCACCTTACCAGTCTGTGGACTAGTGGTCAAGAATCACTGGTCTGTCCTATCTCAACTCCCTCACCACAAAGACACTGTTGCCACCCATGTTTGTTTTTAATAACAAACAAAATGTTTACTCATATTTACTTGTACAACATTAATTTATTAACTTTTTAAAGTAATCAAGACTTACCATTGTCATAGCTGGTTTCCTGATAGTGATACTATCACACAGTATCAGTGATAGTGATAAATACTTAAAATAGTTTGTGATAGGGCAGTTGTTTTTGTCACGATTATATACAGGTCAGTATATTTATAGGTTCAACTTTGTAACATAAAGTTCCCATGCATGTATCGTGTTCTACAAAGAATAGAATATCATTATCAGTTGTCTTACATTACTAGCACGTTTTGTTTGGAATCAAAACATGAAGTAAAAGACGCAATTTGGAACTTATCACCGCCGTAACCAGGCTGAGGTAGAGGAAACAAATGCTTCCTCGCTTTTTCCAAAAAAATTGGGTTTCCCCTATAACTATAAGCAAAATTGTAACACTGGATACAAACAAAACTAGGAAAGCAACTCCAATCAGTAAACAAATGGGTCCCAATCATTTTTTTTAATTGCTCTGTACATTATGTATTATTTAAAACGGGGATCCAATCAGTTTTTAATTGCTTTGTATATTATGTTTTATTTAAAGATTGGTGTATACATAGTCCCTGTTTCGTTGAGACAGCCTATCGAACCCCCTGCCGGGGGCCCCGCTTAAAAGGGGCCTACTTTATACCTTATATTAAAAATAATATTTTATAGATATGCAGTGTTCTGCTGTAATTATTTTTCCTGCGAAAAGGGGGGCCTTTATGTGATAAAATTCATTCGAGAGTTTGCCTCCCTGCTTTTTCAGCGCTGGATACGGCTTTGCTTATAAGTTATACTGGTTTTTGGACCGAGAAACTGCAACACTGTCCTAAACATAAAATTATGCATAGCAACGAGGGTACGTATACTAGTACTTATTATTACTAGTAATACTATTAAGTCATACACCTAGTCCGAGTTCATACTTAGTATTAGTCAGTATTGCTACTGTACTACTACTGCTTATTACTAGTATCAGTGTTAGTAAAACCATTCCATTCACAAATGATCGAGTAAGCCATTAGTTAGAACAAACAATTTCACGATAACACTAACAAAACTACGCTCTACAGTACTGGATCCAAGAGGTGAAACAAAATGAAATAAGTTAGATAATTATACATTAAGCCTTATTTTGGTATTAGAAAATTAAATATATAATAAAACACTTTGCTTTTTGTTTAATATGATGTAAACATCACCAATAAATTAAGGTATAACACATATCTATATTTATCAAATTCAATAACAAAACTAATATTTCAAACGTTGTCATGGTAACCTGTCTGTCCTCTACGTCAATCTATGACATTAAACTACAAGTTGAATAAAAGTAGATTAAAATTGAACTCGATGTATTTATATACTATGTGTATTTATGAAATAATAAATACTCACACATTTGTAGTGACTCTAAGATATAGCGATTTTAAAATGCTTTATATATTTAATGTGATCGATAAAAGTTAAAATGTGAAAAACTTAAATTAATGTGATTGGAGGCTTCATATTTATATTACATCCTCATACAATTTGTCAAGTCCTTCTGTATATAAAAGTAAGTGATAATATATTTTGATCACCTCTTGTTCAAATAATTTAAACTGATACAAATGCAGTTTTAATCTTATTAGGCATATGTGTCCAAATTTTTATTTCTAAAGGGATGTAGAATGTTTGTTTGTAATTAAGCACAAAGCTACACAAAGGGCTATCTGTGCTCTGCCCACGACATACCGCTGTGCCATTGGGGGCAGGGATGTAGAGAATAAGCGTAAATGTTTAATTTAGATGTTTGCTATAGGGAGCTCGTCATTTCAATGATGTCAAGAATCTAGTAGTGCCGGATAAAATCTATAGACAAGGCTATATTGTTTATAAATACGAAAATAAATCAGTTAGTAATGAGTAATACATGAGAAGTTAATGAGAATTCAGTGAATATTCAATGAGTATTTCGGTTCAGTGTTAAATAGTGAAAGTAAACACGTCTGTTCAGAGACTCGATCGAATAGCAAGAAAATTCTATAAGTAAGCTTATTTGTGAATTAGGCTTACTTACCATTAGCCTCGTAATTTCTGTTAAAATGTTATTTATGCACTTAGGCCTACATCTTGTGTCAAAAGTGAAAGTAGCCTGAGCAAACATTAAGGAAGAAATAAACTAATTCATTATTATTATGTGAATTAGAAGTAGCATCATTTTTACTAATTGATTCAAAAGAACCGCCTTAGGTTTGTTTGTAATTAAGCACAAAGCTACACAATGGGCTATCTGTGCTCTGCCCATCACGGGTATTGAAACCCGGTTTCTAGCATTGTAAGTCCGCAGACATATCGCTGTGCCATTGGGGGGGATGTAGGGTGATTTTGGGATGAAATGTTGTCTTATGAAGGTTACGAGGTGATCTTAATAAAGTTTAGAATATTGTTACGTCTCTAGTCGTTTGTTAAATTTCCGTAAAAATGCTTTCCGAAGAAACTTTAGCGATACAAGT